CCGAGTTCGTGGTTTGTTTATCGTTCTTTTCTTTTAATCTCTCTTCCTCCTAGCCGCCGGATTTCCTAACCACCCACCTTGCCACCGGCCGACGTCTCCCACTACCACCACCTCAAGCCACTGCCCTCCTTCTCCCACTAAAACCACCGGCCTGCTTATCCAAAGCCCCACCCCACAGCCAGCCCTTCAACCAACCGAACCCAAGCCCAAGCCGCCCCCTTTCCCCTTAGATTTTTCCCTCCATCCTTGCTTACATTGATTCCTTTCCTATTCGGGTTAATTAATTTAGGTAACTCATTAACTTATCAAATTCAAAGTTACCTAAAATATCACTCCTATTTTAGGAACTTTCCAAATCCTTGCCTATTGAATTAAAGTTAAATTAGGATGAAATATTTCATCCTAAATTTAAGTCCATGACTTAAGGAAGCATTAATAACTTCCTTAATTTCTCTCCCTATCCCATTAAGTCGTCGGTTCCCCTCATATTTAAATTTGGATTTGTTTCCTAAAGCTCCACTTTCCTTATTTAACTCCAACTATCTATGGAAGGAGTTTGAATTTTGAAATAACTCAAATTTAAATATCAAATCCTTCCTATTTCATTAATCCTATTTTTGGAAAGGCCATTAAATCAATCAATTAATCCAAATCTGAATTAATTGAGTAATTAATGACCTAACTCCAAAAACATTGAACCTAGACACAACCCCCTCCGTCTTGCTTTGCCAAAATTAAGTTTTCCCCCTTGACCTTGTAGGTGATGACAAATCTTAAGGAGCCATGTTTTGCCTTATGCCTAAGCTTAGTAAACATAGGATTGTGCGTGCTTTCTATGTTTCTAATCTTATTATTAGATTAGGGATTTTGTTAAAAACTACTTACTTTGCATGTTGTTGAATTTCTAGCTTATTTTAATTTTCCAAGTGCTTGGCAAGTGGCTTAGCCTAAGCGTAGGCACCCCTCTCTTGTTTTCTATTGTCATTTTGATTGCTAAAAGTTTTAATCTTACATGCTTAATTCAAGAAAATCGTGCAATTCTTATCACATACATTTCAAACATTTTAGTCCTTCATCAAGTAGACTTCATAAAAAAATTCTCTTTAGTGGTGAAGATGACTACAATCAATGTTGTACTGAGCATGGTAGCAGTGGAGGATTTACATCTAGAGCCGGTGGATGTAAAGACAACTTTTTTACATTGTGCAACCTCAGGGATATATGGTTACAGGTAATGAAGAACTGTTGTGTATGCTCAAGAGGAGCTTATATGGGCTGAAGCAGGCACCAAGGCAGTAGTACAGGAGATTTGACAGGTTTATGTTAGATAATGGATACACAAAGTGCCAGACAGACCAATGTTATTTTTTCAAATATTTTGATAACATTTATATTTTTCTATTTTTGTATGCGGATGACATGCTGGTTGTAGGTTCAAAAATTGAGAAGATAAGATATTTGAAAGAACAATTATTAAATGAGTTTGAAATGAAAGATCTGTGTCCAACAAAGAAAATTCTTGATATGAGAATTAGTAGAGATAGAAGTGTAGGTATACTAAAGTTGTCTCAAGCAGAGTATATTGAAAAGATTCTTCAGAGATTCAACATGAGTGAGACAAAGTCAATTTGCACTCTCTTGGATAGTCACTTTCAATTATCTAAGGAACAATCTACTAAATCAGAAACAAAGAAAGAACAAGTGAAGAAGACTCTGTATGCTTCAGTAGTTGGAAGTTTGATGTATGCTATGATCTGCACAAGATCTGATATAGTATATGCAGTGGGAGTTATCAACAGATTTATGAGTAACCCATGCAAACATCATTGGGAGGCTGTTAAATGGATTCTCAGTTACCTGAGAGGATTAGTTAACAAAGCTCTTTGCTTTGGTGGTGTAGGGATTGATCTAGAGGGTTATGTAGATTATGATCTTGCTGGAGATCTTGATGGTAGGAGAAGCACAATAGGTTATATCCTCATTTTGGGAAAGACTGCAATTAGTTGGGTTTCCAAATTACGAAAGATTGTTGCGTGCTCAATTACAGCAGCTAAGTAAATTGCTATTACTGAGGAAAACAAGGAGATGATTTGGTTGCAAAGTTTCTTGAGAGAACTTGGCAAGGGGTAAAGGAATATGAAGTTGTATAATGATACTATGAGTGTTGTACATCTAGCCAAGAATATTGCATTCCATGCCAAGACGAAGCACATCTAGCTTCGGTATCATTTCATTAAGTTGCTTCTAGAATATGGTTAATTATCTTTGAAGAAGATACACACGACTGAATATCCTACAGACATACTGACGAAGACGATGGCAGTTGAAAAACTAAAGTTATGTTTAATTTCAGTTAGTCTTCATGGAGGATGAGAGCAGGGGTGAGCCACATTACCGATACTATGATTGATGTTATAGATCAGGAGAAATATTGATTGCAATCAGTTCCAAGTGGGAGATTGTTATGTGTGGAATCTGACTGTGTTGATCAACCTTGTTGTTATGTTATCTCGGTCCTTAAAGCTTGTGTATACTGTAGGGTGCAGGGGGTTTACCCCCTGCTTGGGCTCGAGTGCTTTGGGCGCAAAAGTTTTTTTCCGTACAACGCGCTGGCACTGCATACGTGAGTGCCCGACGATGCATACGTGATCGCCCCAGCGCTGTGTTCCCTAGCGTCGCAGCGCTGAACAATAGAGAGCAGAGCACCATGACGGCCTAGATATTGCGCCGCAGCTATGCAAGATAGACTTGGGTGTCGCAGCACTGCGAGATGTATTGGACGGTTTTCTTTCTCGTTTTTTGAAAGGTTGGGCCCCTTGGAGTTATTTTACTTGGCTTTCTCTTGTATTTTTAGTTATGGCAAGTGTGAGAATGGTGCATGTGACAAAATAAGCAAGGAGAGTGAGAGAGAAGAGAGATCTGTACTTATTTATCTGAATTTTCATAGTAGATTTCTTGGTGTGGTGTGGCTCCGTAGTTTTTCCTCTATTTTGGGTTTTTACACGTTAAATCCTGGTGTCCTTTACTTTTGCGTTGCTTTTACTTTCTTCCTTGTTTCATCTTTGTGGTGTTTACTCCTCGTGATCTCCCCCAACAAAACCATCATCGAATAATCTTTTAACCAGGTTTGAATAATCTTTAAATGATGATCGGACAATCTTAAAACCATGATTGAACCATTGTTGTTCATCACGAACATCTTCGATCATGGTTTGAAGTTGATTAGATCATGATACAATAATGGTTCAAAGATTTTTCAAAGATTAATTGATTGTTGTTACAAAATTGTTTGATTGTGGTTTAATCATGGTTCAAAGATGAAAGTGATTTGAATATGATTCTTAAAAGTTTGTATCATTTAATTTGATTTCTATCGGCATTTTGGGTTTAGGGTTTAGACTGTGAGTACCGTATTTGATTTTAAATAACCAAACAAATAATATCACTAACCTTCATAGCGATGAATGGAGTAGAGACCATCATCGTGAAATTTTGTCGTAACCTGAATAGGGACAGGTTGAAATCATCAAAAACGGAGAAGGTGCTAGGAAGAAGGGTCAATGAACTCTAATAATCAAAAGCTCGTGTAACTATTTAGAAAGAGTTTTTACTCTATTGGTTAAAAAGCATGGATATTTTGATATGAAATGAATTTTTGAGCATATTTTCTTCAAGAAAATAAAAAACAGGCATTATTTCTCCTATTTTGCTTTTATGAAACATATAATGCCAAATTCCTCATATATATATAATGGAGTAATAATCCTTATTTGTATCAGAACAGACATTTTTTGGATGGTTTCCTCTTCTAAATTACGTTGGTACTAGATTTCATGAATGTGAATGTTTTATTTCGTCTGTCATTCTTTTTATCATCCCAGCTATTTGGAACTGGTTTTAGGAATCTTTTTTTTTTTTTTTTTTTTCGTTCATTCCCATAAACTACATCGTATGTAGTTCTCTATTTTATAATTTTTTGTCTGTAAAGTTAAAAGTTCTTTTTTTTTTTAACCTGCATGTTTGCCATTCAAATCCGTCCCAACTTGCTCCACCTTTTATACATCCGTACCTGATCTTGAACTCTATTTCATAGAACATCTTCAATTGGTGCTACCATTCTCTCTCCAATACAATCATTTCACACTCTTTACCATCTAGTTTTACCTTACATCATCTTATAGTATTTGCAATACCATCTAGTTTTACATCACATCATCTTTGTATTTCCATTTTATCTCTCTCGACTTGGTTAATAGTATTCTCACTCACTGTTTTTATATTTTACCTCTTCTCATTTGTTCCTTTCAAGTACGATATGCTAGTTCTAGTTACCATTGTATCCAATAATTCTCTGGCTTTACCATTCAAAGCATCCAAATTTTCAAAAACCAAATCCTTTTTCATTGGGATCTCATGTGTTTTTTCCCTTCTATTTTTTACTTGCTTTTCTATTGACCTAATTTACTGGCATACTAATATAGTGATAGTGCATTTCTTAGATTTAGGCTAATTACCACACTTTGCACAACAGCAGGGTTAACTTGATGTGTCACTATTGGCAGGCAGTTGTTCTCATCATAACCAGATGTCGCTTATGTTTTTGTATGAGCCAACCCTTGTCAACTTCTAGTTCAATTTTTGTTTGTGACTAACTTGTTTTTGGGGACTCTGGCATTATCTGATATTAAAATTCATTCAATGGTTTTTAACATTGTGTATATGATTGACTTTAAGTCTAATGATTCCATGAATCTTTATGATCCGGGCTTAAGATTATTAGCTAAGATTTTGGAGCTATAAAAATGTTGTATTAGCTTAATTAAGTGTAATAGTTAGCTCTTTTTTATTTAGTTTTTTGCAGGAATTCTGTGTTTCCTGTAAACATACAAGTTTCCTTTTGATTGTTTAATTAACCATAATATCAAATCTGTAGTAACTATTATTTTTAATTTATTAATCAGAGTTTAATTCTAGCCCCTTTTTATTCATGTAATTTCCAGCTATGGGACATAAACATGGATTCTGGTCCTGTTGCATCATTCCAGGTTCATGAATATTTGAGGCCGAAGGTAATGTTGTTACTGTCTGATACTATTTTTTTATATTTTCTTTGTACTGTTGTAGATCAGTACATTCATAACTTTCTTCTTGCCTTTGCTAATTCATGATTTTGAGCAGCTTTGTGATTTATATGAAAATGATTCAATCTTTGATAAATTTGAGTGCTGCCTGAGTGGAGATGGACTTCGAGTAGCAACTGGTTCATACAGGTTGTCTTGCTTGCTTTTTAGATGACACTGGGTTTTGGTATTTTTCATTCTAATGATTGATGCAATTTTTTATTTGCATGAAACCAGCAATCTTTTCCGTGTTTTTGGTTGTTCTGCCAGAAGCGCTGAAGCAACCACCCTAGAAGCTAACAAAAACCCAATGAGGTATGTGTGTGCTTGGAATTATTGTTGACTCTTTTGATGCAGAGCATAATTTTTCATTTTTTATTTTTTGAATTTATGTTTTTAATCCTATAGAGAGGCTTTACGGAAACAAGATTTTGGAGGGTATAAAAAATTACATTTATAGGAAAAGGGGTTACAAGGTACAATCCTTTCTAATTAGGATGTCAATATAACATAAAAGAAAGCATGTTGTTGTATGCATCTTGGATGACAATAATGCAAGAAATTCAATGGGACACCCATGGCCAATCATGGTGCACCTCTTGGAGATTTAAGGGGTAATCTTAATGCTGCGAAACAAATAATGTGAACTCTGGTGAAAGGCGGCTTACCGATGTTTTTTGAGGATCTAAGAAACCTTTAGAGCTCTAAGATTCTTACACATTCAGATGATGCTATTTATAGATTTTGAGAATGTTTCTTCATCGTTATTTTGAATATAAAGGAAATCTCTTTAGATGCTGACAACAAAATGGTTCAAGTTGTCTTCTTATGTTTAAAATATGTCTAGTTGATGTTACCCTTTTTTTTTTTTTTTTTAAAGTTGATGTTACCCTTTTTTTTATTTTTTATTTTAGTTGATGTACCCTTAGGTTGACTCAATTGGCCCATTTAGGTCGGGACCAACTAAGGAAGTCGATTATGGTGGTTTCATCATGGCTTGGCAATTTCTTAGATCGATGGCTTGAATATTCGATTATGTAGATCTCAACACCAAAAGTCCAATGAAGGTGAAATCGAAGTTCTAATGTTTATATTGACAAGGATATTCCAAGAAAAAATTTCATTGAAATTTGGGGCTACCAAAAAATGGTAGCAATATGTTGCCAAATGTCTGTTTTTAATCAGATTCATTTTCCATGAATGGCTTCCAAAATGGAGATTTATGGAAGTCGCAATGGCTCTAGGAAGTCAAAAACTTTATGGTCAATTTGCAAAATAACAAGTGCACCCCACTTCGATTGGGCATCATTGACTCTCTACTCTCAATCGTGAAATGTTAAGTATTGATCTAGCTACCCCTTAAGAGACTGACATCACCTTGCTTGTTGGTGGCCAAATGTCGCATGCAAGAGGGTTGGCTGACTAGACTTCTTGGTACGGTCTACAGTGGTTTGGTTTGAACTAGTTTAGGTCCTTCTCATGCTCAAAATCAAACATTCTTGGTGTTGGTCGATTCATCGTAATGATACAATCCTTTTGGTGATTTTATGCCATTTTTGTTTGATCTATGAATATGTTTTCATGATAAATTGATTTTTGGTTTGTTATTTCTAAGTTACTATGATCCTTACATAGTGTTAAAATTTATGCTTGATTAGATTATAATTTTTACGATCTTAATAATATTCTCCCATTTCTTTATATCCTCACTTTTAAGTATAAAAATTATTTGATGTATTATGAATATTTGCCTCGTAATTTTTTATATGCGGGAAACTTCAGGATGAGATTACTCCATAGAATTCAACATGGGCCTTCATAAGGGTCTGCGAACCAAGTTGTCCCTCTTTACCTCAAATTCTTGGATACTTAAAACTCTTTAAATAACTTTAGATGAGAAAACCCAATAAATAAATATAGTCAAAATCGATGGTTCAAAATTTCAAGTAGTTGGATAGGATTTCCAAGTATCCTCAAATCTGAAAACTTTAGAATGAACTCGAGGCATTTCATCAAATTTAAAAGCAATGGGGCAATAGTCAGATGCCACCCTTGCTAGATGTCTAACCGAAGCAGAATGAACTAACTGAAGAACCGCGGAACTCAGTAAACATCTATCCAATCTTTTCCAAATCCTAGTAGTTCCATATTTATTATTACACCAAGTGAACCTTGAACCAATAACACCTAAATCATGAAGATTATGATTAGCCATAAAAAATTTCATCTTTTTTGGTCCCTTGGACATACAAAATCGTTTACCACCTCGCTTGTCCTCCTTAGAAAGAAGACAATTGAAGTCTCCAGCAACAATAGTGGGAGTACCACCCAACATATTCCTGCCAAGGTTCTCCCAAAGATCCCTTCTAACTTGAAATTATTTATTACCATACACCATGGCCACATGCCAACATCCCTTGCTAGTAGTATCAAGGACCCCAAACACAAGTTGAGAAGAATGTTTTCCCATAGTAAAGGATACAAGATTTCTATTTCAAATAACCAGAATGCCTCCAGATGTACCTTCAGCCGGCTGATGGAAAAAGTCCCAATCAGCACCAATAACTCTATTAAACATTTCTTCTATCTATGTTAGATAACTTGGTTTCAGCTCACCCAACAAAAAGCACAGCATTGTCTTTCACAATTTCCCTGAGGTATAAAGAGGCTTCCCTCTTTCTAACCCCTCTACAATTCCAAAAAATCAAAGAAGTCATTTATTACATAATGGGGAAAAGTCTCCGCCTTTCTTCTTTGCCTTGCCTTCAACTTTCCTCTTTAAATAGGAGCCAAAACTGTCAGTTGTAATTTGGATTTCTATTTAGCAGCAATCAAAAGCTCTTTATCAGCACTTCCTTTATTAGTTTTGACATCAATTCCTTGATCTTTAGATATAGCAATGTCGATATCTTGAGCAATATTGGTTCCTTCAGCAATAAAGTCAGAGGCAGCAGGATCAGTAATGGTTTCTTCATCAATAATATCAGAGACAGCAAAACCAGCAGCTATGGGATCCAGAACAGAATTTGCAATACCAATAGAATTAACAAGAGGATCGATAAAAGGAGAGTCAACTTGTTTAGACGGATTTGAAAAAGGGTCAACTTTTGCCGCATCAGAGATTGTATTTACATTGCTGATAAGCTCAGTCAAAACATCAAACCTGTTTGACAGACAAACATCAGAAGAATACTTCTCGTGAGCAAAGCCCTGATGGTTGCCACTAAGACTACTTTCCACAATTTGTGCCTCTTCTACTTGATTAGTATTAACATCCTGGACACTAAGGTTGCACTTATCAACAATAGTGTCATTATGATTATCATGATGCTTGACATTAGCTTCCTTATTCCTGCTGCCCAGTCGGTTCCAGTTCTTATTAGTTATGTTTTTGAAGTTGACATGAATCCATGAGCCATAATCCTCATTTTGCCGATGATGTATAGTATCATTATCAGTGGCAAAATTCATCTCACTGCGTTTTCCTTTAGCATTATCATATTCAGTTCGAAGAACAGGACATTCGGATTTTACATGTCCAATTTTAGGCAATGATAGCAAAAAGAAGTTAACTTCTCGTATTCAACTTTCTGGAAGAATCTTCCACCCATACCATCTACCAAAACTCCCAAAGGCAACTTGGATTCTAAGTTGATGCGAACACATACACGAGCAAATTCCTTCTTTCCCCACTTAAAAGAGTTGCCATCTAAGTACATTGGAGTTCCAATCCTTGAAGCAATTTTTGAAATATTTACTTCATCCCAACAATAAAGCGGCAAAAGTGGAAATCGGATCCAAACGGGAGCAGATAAACCTTTAAGAGATAAAGGTGAAAAGATGGGAGCCATTTATCCATACCTACAATGTCCCACCAACATACTAAGGGCCACCACTGAAAACTTCTTCCATAGCATCAGAAGTTTTAAAGGAACAAAGAATCCAATTTAGGCCCAAAGTAGTCAAATGGAAATTACCAAATTTGTTCCATTGCCTCCATAGTTCCGTGCTATAAACCGAAAAAGGAATGTTCTTCCCAAGAACCTTCAACACAACAGAATTATTCAAAATTTGAGAATTAGCAAGCTATAATTCCGAATTCAGTTTAACAGCAACTCCGTCTGAAGACATTTCAGTTGAGTTAATATCAAAATTGATTTTGATATGATGAGGCTTCCGCAAAGCATTGATAAAGGATTCTTTCTGATTGTTAATTTCATCAATCAGTTGATCCGCAGCTTCACTAATCAGCGGAACAGGTTTAACAGTTTCAACAGTTGGTACTTCCGGAATAGAGAAATAAACATATAGGTTGCACGTAATGGGTCCCTTGTTGTTTCCAACAAATTTATTGACTTTAAGAATCAAGTTCAAGGATGTAGAGGCATCCAAATCCACGGTACCAAACTCAATACCTGATTCTTGCTAAGAAGACAGCTTTGGAGGTTCTGCCGATTTCTTACCCTTTCCCTCAACAACCTGGAGTTGAATTTTATCATGAATAGCGATTGAGCCGTAATCTTCTCTGATGATCAGAGGTTTATGACAGTTTCTTGAATCTCCGTTCATAATTCTTCTATCAATAAAATCAGCATTCTTGATAGATGACGGAGAAGACCCACAGGAAGGATTAGAAGGCGGAATATTGTCAGGAGGTGGCCGGAACTCTGACGGTGATCGTCGGCCCGACGCCATCATGAACAGGAGCGTATTACCTGCGAAAAAAGAATTAAAAAAAACACTCTATAGGAAAATCGGCCCGACGTTGATTTGGTGTTGTGGATAGGAAATAAGAAATTTAGTTTAAATCCTGTCAAATACAATAAATTATATTTTAAAAAAATCATAAAATATTTAAGATACGCTTGTCGGACACGCGTGCCCAATTTGTCTTTAATATTTTTTTTAATTGGAAATGTTTTCAACGTGTTTAGAAGAGTGTCAGACAAGTGTCGTGTCGGATACGTGTCAGACACTGCACGCCTCTTTGAGTAGAAGTGTCGGTGCATCATAGCATATGAATGTATTGTACACACATGACTAACTTGTAATTATATATGTAAATGAACAAATATTCCGATAAGTGTGAAAATACATATGTAAACATGTAAACATATAAGTACTCATGCAAATGTGCATATACACGTGCATATATATTATACATACCCATTGGATATGTGTGGCTACCATACAAACATATCATGCAAAATGCATTCAAAATCATATACTTGCATGGGCCCTGACAAGCCTTATGTATGCACATACGTGATATCTGAGGATGTTGTACGGGTTAAGAAATGAACTTTAGTTGAAGC